AGATGTGTATAACTGTACAGTATTAAGTAGTATGAATAATTGCCCAATATGTTTTTAAATATATATACATTACTAGATTAAATAATATACTAGATCACTACTAGATTATAGGCAATGTTTTAATAATTTAATTTTATAATTTTAATTTTAATATATGGAGGAGGTACATGGAACACGCTGTGAAATCTAAACAAAATATCTCATTACTGGGCTATCCATCGACTGGTTATACCATGGTTGGATTGAAATGTAATCCATTGATAATGAAAGGCACTTTTAATCATGCCTCATCAGTCAATAGGTACACGAACGATCTTCATCATTACCATATGGACAAAAATAAATTAATTAAAGTACAGTATTTAATTTATATTAAAAAGAGTTTAAAAAAAGATAGAACCTCCACCAGGATGGAACATATACAAAGACACACAATATATGGTAAAACTTGCATTGAACTGTCTTCATAAAGCTTAAACGAGGATAAACTTCGTATAAAAAATATATACAGTATTTCATCCGAACAATTTAAATTATTAAATGCAATTATCTTTTAAATGAACTCTCTTACGTCTTATCGGCTAAAGGGGTCCGTGTAACATAGGCCTAGATTACGTGTTTAGTGCAAGTACAAACAAAGGTACATGATAAGAATCAAATATAGAATTTAAGCTAACAAAAACAACATATCCAAAACAAGTCTATGTTATATTAGGCCTATATTGAAAAAAAAATGCAAACTTTTCAAAAATTCAGCCAAATATAGTTTGGCCGTGACTTTTCAAATGTTACGGCCAGGCAAATTTTTATACGGCCATATTTGAGGAATCTGGCCGTCAAAAAGGCCAAATGGCAACCCTGCTTGCAAGCACCACAAAACGGCTCATTCTTCGCTACAACTAGACTCGTGCAGACGCATTTATTAGCCGCAAAGTTACCATTCCAGGCCGTGATTGGTTGATAAACACAATGTGGAATATACAGCTGATTTGCAATCTGATCAATGACGAACACGCTTTCATAGGAAACCCATCTTAGTGTTAAGAGATATGATATAAAAACATATAATTTCACATATTTCCCGACAACATTTTCGCAAAAACTCTTCATACTTTAAATTCCCCAAGCCTTCTCTTCCATATTATTGCAAGATCAGCCTAATCGCGTCACAAATGAAGGAAGAGATAGAAAAACAAATGACTTCAAAATTCGCTCAAATTCCTCATATAAGCCCTCTCTCTCAGAGAGTGGGCTAAAAATAAATAGAGAATTTGTTTAATTAATAACAGTAGTACCTGTAATATCTATTATAAAGATTATCGGTCCAGCGCCTTCTCTAGTTGCTAGGTGCTACCAAGATGGCTACGGTCCATCGTGTACAAGGTGAAATACAACCTTGTTATTAAAATCAGCTTTATACGTTATCTAGTGTTCGTCGTTGTTATTTCATGGTCTCAAAGCAGGCTTAAATATTACAGTACCCAAAAAGTCTGAAATGGGAGGATTGAGTTTTTCCATAGGCCTATAACACACAAAAACTCCTAAATCGGAGGGTTGATTAAAAGTTTTGCTCTCTCTCTATATATATAGAGTTTGTTTAATAATTTCGGATCAGATATTGGAGCATATGCGCTGCACGCAGTAAATTTGACTTTGGAGTTTTCGCGTATACTACGCGAAAACTCCAAAATCGGAGAGTTGGCGGTGGGTGCAGACACACCGATTTCGGAGTAAGACCATTATAGTGCATGTTGTGTTGTCCAATTTTTTATTCTTTCAGAATATACTGATGATTACCATATAAAAAGTCTACAAAAAATGGAAAAAGATGGATAATGTTGTCATTGCTATTGGTGTTATTTTTGGAGTAGCAGCACTCATAAGCATCATTTTTCTTTGGCTAATGTGTTTGTACAACCGACGACGAAATGCATCAGAAAAAACAAGTGTTCCTAACCAGCAGAAGAATGGCATAGATCAACAAGATGTGGCCACATCATCACAAAATGAGGGTGTTAATACCAATGATGGTCCTCATCTTTGGGAAGAAAACTATCTGTATGCATTTGATGAAGTGAAGTTAAATCAGAAAAACTCAGTAAGATCAGCTTCAAATACTTTAAATTTCTCATTGTATCAAAAAAATGATGTTCTGTTGAAGGTGAAAGGGGACATGTCAAGCATGCACCATAGTATTATCATTGTTTTTCATCATTAAATTTTAAGGACGAAGTTGATGACATGTCAGATGCTGTATCGCCACAGAATGAGGACGATGTTAAAGAAAGTAAGATGTATGTGTCTGCTGATGAAGTGAAGCTAAACAAGAAACAATCAGTAAGAGCACTCACAAAAATATTAAAATGTTTTTATTATTTAAGTATGTATCCTATGTTTCAAAGAAGCTTCGGCTACTTTAGAAATCCCAGGAACTTTTTTTTGGTTGGTTTTTTATTACATTCCAAAGTGATCGAGAAATGCTGTGTAATTTCATGGGAATATTTTGGGAAAAATAGTTTTCAACAAAGATCCGATGATTGAACTGCCACTGACAATCAAAAGATAATGTTGCGTCTATGACCATTCAAGCTGTTTTGGAGTACTGAGCTCCCCGATTTCTCCTTTCTTTGAGTCCTCTCATTTTTTTCTCTTTTTACCCAGTCAGCATGTTGCTGACTGGGTTTTGTTTCCGAGCAGTTTCTTCTTTCTTTCTTTCTGGCAACATTTTAAAAGGCTACTAGTGGCAAACTACTGGACCGATTTAATTAAAAAAGCTTGGGGTCAAAGGTCACATAAGGGGCATTAGGGTCAAAAAATCAAAAATCGTATAAAAGACTACTTGTCTCACAAATAACGTAGCAGTCTTGACCTTTGCACATATACATTAGCATAAGACAGAGTCTATAGGGTGTTCAGGGGTCAAAGGTCATTAAGGGGTAATTTTCATCTTTTTTCTGGCAACATTTCATAATGCTACTAGTGCCAATTTCAACCAAACCTGGTCAGTATAACCGGTGACACCTCTCATACATGGGGTGTTCACTGCTTGGGGTCAAAGGTCACATAAGGGTCATTAGGGTAAAAAAAACATTTTAAAAAATGAATAAAAGACTTCTGTCACAAAAAACATAGCACAGTCTTGTCCTGGGCACATATGTACTGGCATAAGGTAGGGTCTCTATGGTGTTCAGAGATTTACGGTCAATGGTCATTAAAGGGTTATTTTTTGTTCTCTCTAGTAAAATTTCAAAATGCTACTAATGGCAAACCATTGGACGAAATTCAATCACATTTCATCATTAAGAACCGGTGTTCAGAGATTTACGGTCAAAGGTCATTAAAGGGTTATTTTTTTGTTCTTTCTAGTAACATTTCAAAATGCTACTAATGGCAAACCATTGGACAAAATTCAATCACATTTCGTCATTAAGAACCGGCGACACCTCCTACACCCCAGGGTAGGGATCAGGGTTACATAGGGGTCATCGGGGTCAAATTTTCAAAAAACTCCAATTGTGCTCGAATTTACCAGGAGCGAGCCTTAGAACCTTCTAAACATGAAAAACGACTCTTCACCTATAGGTCAAAAGTCACAAGGGTCACTATAGTGAAAATTATCAAATCATAATGAAAACTTGAGGACATCTGCTCACTTAACGGTTCACTGCACACATAAACATTGTAAATGAGTCAAAACTAGACCCCCTTTTCTCACAAAATAGACTATATAATTTGAATGGCATTTGGCAATCTGGGGCGATCGGATTATGAAACTAGATGTTTTAAGCTTTATAATCATCTATATATTTTCACAATTAATGCAAAATTGAGTGATCATTTTTCTTTCAAAATTGACTATCTCTTATGCTTTTGCATAGGAAAAAAGGTTAAAATTAGAGTGTTTTTTGGTATACTTCCTGCTTCTTTTTACCATAACTCTGCAACGACAGGTCGCTAAACCTCGGGGTGAACAGTCAATTGTAACTCACAAATTAAGCTTTCTTTTACCATGTAAGTCCCATGCTGGTTGCTTAAATAACCATTAATCATTTTTTCTTTACAATTTTGTATTAAGAACTGTTTTTACCATGTCTATGAATGACGTCACGTGCTTAAGGCCAATAGCAGCTACGAATTTCGAGTTTTCTGCAGTTTAGTGCGTTCATGCATAAATCCATGTAGGTCTGACTTACCTGAATGAGCTTTTGTCGCAAATAGAGGAAAAGCTTTCATTATGATTTCTATTGAGTAATGATTGGACCAATTGCTACCAAACATGGGGTGTTCACACAGGTTGAGCTTAAAGGTCACAGTGGTTATCTCTTAAAAAATGACTGGGTTCATGTTCTATTGAACATAGTATCTCTAGTTCTTTTTTTTTTTTTTTTGAGGAAAGCCAGCCCACGTGGCCCCCTCTGGATCCGCCATGGAGAATGTAATTTTCAGTGGCACTATGACATTGGTATTACTCCCAGTAATATCAATTTTGTATTTCAGTAATTTCAGTAATAAAAATTGTTACATTCCTATTTAATTATCTGTATTTAACTACTGTACGACTGTATTTATTAAATATTTATTCTATCATACAGTAATATCAAGCTTGATACTAGAAACGAAGCAACCTAAAAACATTTAATTCCATTCATACGGTAACCGAAATGTAAACAAAAAATTAAATTTCAGACCAGATTCTTCACAAATTCACTGGCACTTACGAACAGTAAACTGCATCACACCAGTGACTGTGACAACCTGACAGAGGCTCAAATGATGAGTCTCACACCCAAGGCACAAGACTTGGTCGGTCTGGTATACCCACATAAAAACACTAACAATGTACATTATTCAATTTTCAGAATAATATCATGAAAGATGCAGACATGACATATCCATCGCAAAATGAGGATGCTAATACAAATAGTGATAATTATTTTATGAAAGAAAACGTTGTGTATGCATCTGCAGATGAAGTGGTTGGAGTCGTTCAGTCATAAGCATGAAAATAAATGTTTCTGATAAAAGCATCCTCTGTAGAGGAACATGTATAGATACATTCAAGGGAGTCTAACTATGCAAGAAGCACATTAAAACAATGGATTGTAGATTACTTTATATTTTATTATAGTATCTGTAGTGATAGGCCTATACTCCAAATTGTTTCTTTTTTAAAGTCAGGCCACAGAGAAAGAAAAAAAACATGGTGTGCTTAAATATACAAATAAATTTGAATTGATGTTTGTAGAAAAAAAACAGAAGGACTAAGATACACAGATTTTTAAGAAGAGGAGAAAGAGGTACTCAGATAAAATGTGTTCAATTCGTCTAAAATTGGAAAATCAATCAACCAAGTGGAAGAAATTTTTTGGGGGAGAGATCTGTTTAAATAAATGAGATTTCTTGACCACAACTAATTTTATTTTGCTTTTGGTGATACCGGCACAGACTTCCGTGAGTAGAAAGCATGCAAATATGAATTTTTCGAGCGATGGGTCATTTTCCGGGGGATTCTTGCTTGCTTAAGGGAGTGTGGGAGGCACTCGATTTCAGTGAGACTCCTGCCACTCCTGGGATACTTAAGCGGAGTACTCACTGCGTGCACGGCGACGAGACGATGAACGCACATAAGAGCGCAGAACCAACGGATCTCTTTATTTTTATGAGGATTCGTTCAGACTGATACTGACAAACAGCCGACGGCGTTCGTCTATCGCTCGCCAGAAGCAGAGGTTCATTCATCGGGCGGCGCGGCGGTCATACAGTGAGTGCCCAGCTTTGACACCCCTGAAATATTGTTATATTGTTGAATAATAATGATATTTATACAAATTACCTTATAAGGAAAGGTAAAGTAGGAGAATAACCCATAACTTGCAGCGTCATTGTGCTGAATTGCGTATGGGTGTGGTCCATGACTACCTAGCAGCCGTAAAGAGGCGCTTCTTGGTAGATACATGTTCACATCTGGCATTTTGGTTATTTATAAGGGAAATAAACATTTGAATTGATATCATATTATATACACTTAATGTGATTAAGAATAGTAACTTAAATGATATTACACAGTATATTAGCAGATTTTAACAATAAAAAAGGACTGTATTATTGAATTATGTTATCGCTACCATAAAATGAGTCATGTCGCGCCTTGTAATGAATAGAAACAACAGCCGCATATTAATATTATAGGCAGATTTTCCTCTGAATACAATTGGTTTTTATTTCTTCTAGAGTTAGTTCAATATCAGATACGCTCTATAATACATTGTTAAGTGGGTGTTAAAAGGAAAGGCAGCCTGCTCTGGCCAAGTGTCTCCATTTATATTAAAAGGGGAATTTTTATTTTCATAATTGAATAATAATAGCATTTATACAAATTACCTTATCTGGCATTTAGGTTATTTATAAGGGATATAAACATTGTGAATTGATTAAAAGGGGAATTTTTATTTTCTGTTTACAGTATTACACCCAGCAGTACTACCACCAAAGGGGAGAGGGGGTTGGGAAAGGGACCCGAGACAAAACAATTTTAAAATATAACATATTTTGAATGACATTCTAACGTTTTAGCTTTTGATAAATGTATATAAATCTGTGTATTTTATTTCATTTTATATATATTAACTATCATTCCTAATGAAATCAATTGTTAGTTTTCAGTTAGTGTAATGTAAATATGTTTACTTTAATTTCATTTTAAGTATTACTGTTGTAAATATTTTCAAAATAAACAAAGTATTAATTACTGTTACTTTTGAATTTGATTTCATTTTTATATAAATTTGTATATACTTGTATTTTTAACTTTTAAGTCAAAAGAGACTTATGAAAAACACAATTATGTGCAAGTTTTTCAAATTAAAAATGTATGTTATTATGTCTCTCATCATCCAAATTAGGCAGGAGCAGATCCAGACATGTCCAAAAGGGGGCCGAAAGTGGGGCCGATCGAGATAACATCACCCTAGGGGTCCGGGATTCCCCAGCGAAATTTTTGTTTTTTTGATGTCTGAAAATAACCTCTGAGGCGTTTTGGGCAATCATTTTTTTCTTTTTCTTTCTTTCTTTTTTTCCCTTTTTTTAACTTTCTAAAAGAGGGGGGAGGCAGGGCCCGGCCCAGCCCCCACCCCCTACATCCTCCCCTGTTAGGTATATTTACATTAATTACCTGGGCTAGAAGACCACAGGATGCCTTTGCTGGCCCTCCCATATTCCCTCTCTTTATGCCCCAGCAGCTTTGCTGCCCAGGTCTCCGCATCTCCATGAGTAGCCCTGCCCAGCAGAGCACATGACTAATCCTAATAGGGCTACACACACACAACAAAATGAAGAAAAAGAAACCTATTTGCAATGGCTGATCCATGAATGCGATGGAGGAGTGCCCAGATAAGCAATTTTACAGTTAAAATCCAGATTTGTATGGTTGGGGCTAAGGTACATAATTGTTATGTATGACACACTTAGATTACTAGAAATGCCACTCTTAAGGCCTGTTTATACTTCAGCAATAGCGATAATGATAAAAAAGCTAAAAAGCGATTGTTCATATAGAAAACAGAAGAAATAAGATAAGTTTTTACACTAGGTCGATTCGATAACAATTTATCGTGTATACGACAACAAAATATTTTTAAAAATCAAATCAGATATCGTCATAATCATGGAAAAACGATAAAATCGTTGCCACTACTACGATTTTAATGTTTTTCCATGATTATGATGTCATCTGATTTGATTTGTCAAAATATGCTGTTATCGCATAACTGATAAATCGTTATCGAATAGTTCTAGTGTACAAACTTCTCTTATTTTCTATATGAACAATTGCTTTTTAGCTTTTTCATCGTTATCGTTATCGTTGAAGTATAAACAGGCCTTTAGACTTTTAATGTAATTTCCTTAAATCTGTCTAGGATTTGCTCTTTTGGATCTATCCCTTGGATGCAATGTTCAGTGGCACTATGACTTTGGTAAAATAATGATAATAATAACTGTGAACTTATAATAGCATAATGAAAATACCTCTATGGGTTTTTACAACCGGATTTAAGATAAATTATCACCCAAACTAAAATAATAAATGAAAATCTACTATATAAATATTCTTAACTTGATTTATTTTAAGTTATGAATCATTTGAAAAATATAATATTAAGTTTCTTTGATACATTTCAATAATTTTGTTAAAAATTTTTTTTTTAATTTACTACCTTGCTTACTTTTCTTTTCCTTTTCCCATGTCTTCTATTTCCTTTTTTTCCTTCCCTTTTTCCCTCTTTTCCTTCAGTCCTATACATCTTTTCCTTTACTTCCCTTTTTCTTTCTTTTCCTTCAATCCCATTCTTTCTTTTCCTTTACCTACCTATTAGTATAATTTCTTTCTTTACCTTTTCTTTCTTACTTTTTCCTTCTCTTATTCCCTTTTCATTTCTTTCTTTTCATTTATAATGCATTTTCCTTGTTTATTTCTTTTCTTTTCCTTTATAATACATTTTCCTTTCTTGTTACTTTTTCCCTTTTCTTACCTTTCATTTTTCTTTTCACTTTTCTTATTCTTTCGCCTTTACCATTTCCTTTCTTTTCCTTTTCCTTCTATCTTCTTTCAATTTCTTGCCTTTCTTTTCATTTCATTCTCTTTATTTTTCTTTCTCTTTTCCTTTCTTTGTCTTTCTTTACCTGTTTTTTTTTTTTTTCTTTTTCTTGTTACTCACAGTAATACAATACCTCTATGGGTTTTTACAACCGGATTTAAGATAAATTATCACCCAAACTAAAATAATAAATGTAAATCTACTATATAAATATTCTTAACTTGATTTATTTTAAGTTATGAATCATTTGAAAAATATAATATTAAGTTTCTTTGATACATTTCAATAATTATGTTAATAATTATTTTTTTTTATTTACTACCTTGCTTACTTTTCTTTTCCTTTTCCCATGTCTTTTATTTCCTTTTTTTTCCCTTCCCTTTTTCCCTCTTTTCCTTCAGTCCTATACATCTTTTCCTTTACTTCCCTTTTTCTTTCTTTTCCTTCAATCCCATTCTTTCTTTTCCTTTACCTACCTATTAGTATAATTTCTTTCTTTACCTTTTCTTTCTTACTTTTTCCTTCTCTTATTCCCTTTTCATTTCTTTCTTTTCATTTATAATGCATTTTCCTTGTTTATTTCTTTCTTTTCTTTTCCTTTATAATACATTTTCCTTTCTTGTTACTTTTTCCCTTTTGTTGCCTTTCATTTTTCTTTTCACTTTTCTGATTCTTTCGCCTTTACCATTTCCTTTCTTTTCCTTTTCCTTCTATCTTCTTTCAATTTCTTGCCTTTCTTTTCATTTCATTCTCTTTATTTTTCTTTTTCTTTTCCTTTCTTTGTCTTTCTTTACCTGTTTGTTTTTTTTTTCTTTTTCTTGTTACTCACAGTAATACAATTTTGTATTTCAATTGTATAGTACAGAAATTGTATTTTAACCGGCTATGATGGCATGTACATGCATCATTGAACATTAGACTGTGAATTCTACAAATACCAAATACACCAAGCTAACAGATATTATAATGTATGACAACAAAGTCTATTTACTCAAAGGTAATGGAGAGGCATCCTTTGTAATGCACTGAAAGAACAAAATATATATATTGTTATACATGCAGTACTTCTGAAGTATATTTTTAAACACAGAACAAATCATGTGAAACCCCCTAAATTACTTCCTCATACTATAAGTATAGTACTGTAGCAGTACTCTTTCAAATGAGTGGGCAGCAAAAGTTGAAGGTAAGTTGATTATAGACTAAGATTCTGCTTAAATTAAAATTTTTAAATTAGATAGAACCCTGTTAGTGTGGTAGACTTGAAATAATGAAATAAAAACACTGGTAGAACTTTACAGACAACTTCACTTACTATTGCAAGCACTCACTAGCAGTGTCTATGCTTAGAATATAATTTTTGTAATTAGTTCCAATTCATAAATATTAACATTGAATTGTATGAAATTGTAGGGAAAATACAGTAGGTGATATAGATAGCTTCTACTGGTGCTGGCACTTGTATGGGCATTTATAATGCGCCTCTTCTTTCTTGAGGTTATAAAGCGCAGTTTTTTTAACCCTGGTCACTGGGGTCAACATGTTGGTGTTGGTAATCAGCGCAGGAGCAGGCAACCCCCACCAAGTACCCATTTACACTCCTAGGTGGAGAGAAGCAATGTACATGAAATGCCTTGCTCAACGACACAAGCGAAATGCACAGCGAGGAATTGAAACTCCAATCTCGAGGTTGAAAAACCAAACCATTGCCGCTGCACCAAACCACCTCCTATTGGGTTCAGAGAATTCCCTCTCCCTTCCCAATTGGAGAAGATTGTTATAAATCCAATACAAAGTTTAATTAAATATTAAATAATCATCATCATCATCCATCAATTTCCTCTGGTCTAATACCAGTATCTATTGTAATTGTGTCAAGATAAGCTAGTGGTTAGTGGTTTAAATAATGCAAACATAGAGCTTTCACCAGAAGAATACATCATCTACAGTAATTTGCCATCAGTGCTACAACATACTACACAATTTACAAGGAGCAATGAAACAAAAACTTTCGCAACAATTTCAACTGATTAGGTTAAATAATAGTAGTAACACGTAACAAACTTAGAGTGCTTTATGCCAACAAGGCCTCCGGGCCCTTCACATTATTACCTGGATCAAGCACATATGGAACACGTCTCAGCTCCCTGTGCAGAATTCCATAATGATGTAGTCTGTAATCGGCACATTTTGTGTCAGAACCTACTAGGTACCCACTTGTACTTTGGTGTTGCGAAACAACTGTGAATTGTCTTCCTTATAGAATAATCAGTGTTGACCAATTTTCAATTCTTTCAGATACTGACGATTTCATAACATAAAAAAATCTAGAAAAAAATGGTGGAACAAGATGAACTTTTCATTTTTATCGGTGTTGGTTTTGGAGTAGCAGTGTTCATAAGCATCATTTTTCTTTTACTAATAATGTATTTGTACATCCGAAGACGGAAAGCATTGGAACGTCAGGATGAAACTGGAAATAGACAGAGAGCCGCATCAGAGAATGTTTTGATAGGAAGGGCTGACCAGAGTGAGATTGTCACACGGAAGATGGAGACTTCACCACAAAATGGCTCAGCGGGAAATCCACAAAATACACCAGATGCAACACCATTTATGACTCAAAGTTATGAAGACATTGAGATTGGCGGTTTTCCTAACCCGCAGGAGAATGGCATAGTTGATGCAATATCTCCATCAAATGATGATGCTGATATGCAAGAAGATGTGGCAACACCATCACAAGACGAGGGTGCTAGTATCAATGGTGGTCCTCATCTTATGGAAGAAAACGATATGTATGTGTCTGCTGATGAAGTGAAGTTAAATCAGAGAAACCCAGTAAGATCATAGGCTTCAATTATTGAAGTTTTAAATTAATTAATTAATTAATTTATTTATTTATTTATTTATCAATCAATCAATCAATCAATCAATCAATCAATCAATCAATCATTTAATCAATCAATCAATCTATTTATTTATTTATTCAGGAAAACAATTACAAAACAAAACAAAGCACATGTTTACAAAAGAGTAGTCCCTAGGACGGTTCAAAAGCAACCTTATGCCACTATTATCAGCAATGATGTGAACCTCCACCTACAATTTACTAATACAAAAAGAAATAAAATTAATAAACAGCTTGCAAACAAAAAGTGTATTGTTGAGGGGAAATGAGATGCGTCAAATCTTAGTTTGAAAAAAATATTTCTATTTACAATATAATAATTGAACTTTTTTTCTATTTACATTAAAATAAAAGTTCAATATAACCGAACTTCTTTTAAAATAATTAATTGCACTTGCCCAACTGTTAATACTTAATCACACTAAATTGTTACATTTTGATTTTTTTTTAATGTGGTCTATGTAAATTTATTTTTATATGTACAGTTATATTTTTATGCTAATGTAATTATATTACAGTTTTTAACATATTTAATTGTAAAATAAATAATTGCCATTTTGAATTCATACGTTTTTTTTGGGTCGGGTGTGAGAATTTTCGTTGGGTTCTTATTGGCTTCTTTAATCAATTTGTGTGTGTGTGTGTGTGTGTATGTGTGTGTGTGGAATGTTTAAGTTCTTTTATTTTAATGGTTGTTATTGGTTTATGGAAATAGGATTTGAAGAGGCACGCCACTTTGTGATAGTAGTTATTACCGCTTTTGTCTCTCCACAGCTCTCCTCTTTCATTTTGTGTATTTTAATGTTTGTACTGCTGATTAAAATTTAGTTACAATTTTTTCAATCCTATTTCATTTGTATCAAACATGTCTTATATTATTATCATTGTTTTATTTTATTCAATTTCAAGGACGAAGCTGATGACATATCAGATGCGGTATCTCCACCGAATGAGGATGATGCTAAAGAAGATTCAGTGGCATCACCGTCACAAAATGAAGATGCTAATACAAATAATGATTCTTATTCTATGGAAGCACATAAGATGTATGTGTCTGCTGATGAAGTGAGGTTAAACAAGAAACCATCAGTAAGAGCATTCATAATAATATTAAAATGCTTTTATTTTTTAAGTTTGTATCCTGTTTCATAGATGCTTCAGCTACTTTAGCAGACCTTTTTTGATACATAATAAATATTTAAAATTAAATGAAAATGAAATGCCATATGTGGTAGCCAACAAAACCTTAGGTTGTTGGGAAGTGATTGTTAAAAGGGGTGGCAGACAAAGCCTGGTGCTCTGGGCAAGTGTCTATTTATATCCATAGGATAATTCTTTTTGTGTGTTTTCTTTTACATTCAGCAAAGCATGACACAGCATATAGGCCTACACAACAGAATGAATACATTAATTTGCAGTAGCAGATACAGGAATTTGAAATTGAGGGGTCCTTAAAAGGCAATTTTACAAATAGGGTCCACAGCACATGGTTGGGGCTGAGGTAGAAACTTTTATATCTATGGAATTTCTAGAGACTGGAAATGACAGATTTGAATGTAATCCTTTAATTCTCCAATTAATTTTGTTTAACATCAATGATAATGCCAATATCAGTGACAGCCATGTGTCTTCTGAAGAAGACAGCTACTACAACTGTAACCATATTTATGAGTGGGAGGAGACAGACCAGGTTCTCCCACCCTTGAATCTGTCGATGATTTTCTTTACTGTAATTACACCTCAAAGTGATCAAGACTAAAGCTGGTTCCATTCCATGGAAAAGCATTTCCAATGGTGATCTGCTTAGACTGCAGACAATAAAAAAACATCATAGCATTGCCAATAACTCATACCGAAGAGAGGTAGATTCATCATGGCCGACACAATATATTTTTTGGAATCACAAGCTAGCGTTGATATTCACGCTGTAATTCTTCTGGTTCTTGTCTACTACATAAAATTAAACTATTAAAAAAAAATTACAATCTTCATTATTAATATTATTATTATCATGATTAATATTCATTTTTTATAAAATAATAAAAAAAACCTATAGAAGTACACGGTGTGCAGAAAAGTTTGTGTTTACCGTATTTATACGAATAAAAGCCACAGGGCGTCTATTGTTGGGAAGGGTTTTTGAGTGGGTGTTTATTCAAGGAGACATTTTTTTCTTCTTCATATAAAATGGTTACGTATATATTTAAATAAATGCCCCTTAATTTCATACTGTGTGGAACTACCACGCATGATAATTTCCGTCAAAATGTGTTACTGCATGATCATAAAGACTTACTGAGATCCCAGCCAAGTTATAAAAAATGTAATTTTACTAGAATAGAATAAGATAATGTGTTGAGAATGATGATGCTTCCATTAGTCTTGACCACAGTCAATTAGGAGGCATTACTTGAGAAAAAAACATAACACCCTGCGACCTGTGGATGGTCTTCTTTTCGAGGCTAATTTTGCAAAGTAAAGGGGGCTTTTTTTTAAATGAAATGCTGTAAATTTTGGGAATTACTACTATAAAACAATAAATTAGGGCCACTGTAACACCAGTCTGTATTGTGGTATTAAGTCTCCTAACTGTATAAACCAAGCGTGTTTCGGGACGTGTTTTTAATTTTTAATTTTGTTTCTATCCCGAAAAGAAACCCATGAGCTTTTTGCAAGGTTAATTTTGCACACTAAAGCCGGGTTTTAATATGAAATGGGCTTATTCTCAAGATTAAGCTCATTGGGCTTCAATTCAAGGTGTTACAGAATTCAGCCCATGTCCTCTGAAATTTCTTTTCATTTAGTAAACTTAATACTATTTAAAGAAAAAAAAATTTATTTTAATTTCACAGGTTATCCATTATACAGTAGAAAGTGGTGATATCTACGCTGGAGTTGTGAAGTCGTGAAGTCAAACATCTAAAGGAGAATATACAAGAACAATATGTTTCATGCAAGATGCATAATAAAACAACGGAATGTGGACTACGGTCTAATACAAAAAATATACTATCTGGCCTACTATTGTTTCTTTCTTCTAAGTACATTAGGCCTTTACCTCAATCTCAATAATTCTTTATTGTCCATTCATATAAAACAGAAATGTAATTTGAACTGACATACATACATTTACAAATATTTTTAATCCCAAAGACAAAAGCACAACATCCAAAAAAAAAAAACCAATTTATCAATACAGACGTAAAAGGTTATTAAAATTGCACTAAAAATGATTATGTACAAATTGAATTCTTAATAGTTATCATTATTTCATTATTATCAAAATTTATATTTACAGTATTTAAATTACATAATTAATGTTGCACATCTATGTTAATAATTAATTGTAATATTAATATATATGTAGTATTAGAAGCGGTTGGCGCATCAGTTGTGGCTTGGACTCCCAACCTTGAGGTCGGAAGTTTGAAACTCTTACTGTGCAAACCGCTTTTGTCCTTGGGCAAGGCATTTTACAAGTGAGTACAAGTGAGTACCTGGAAGGTTCGAACACAACTGCGCTGATTACTAGCTGCAATATTATGGAATTCTCCCCAGGGAGCTGAGTATGTGTTCCATATGTGTTTGATCCAATGACCGGGGTAGTAATGTGAAGTGCTTAGAGGCTTTATGCATGAAGCGCTATATAAGACCGACATATTATTATTATTCTTCTTCTTATTATTATTATTATTATAAAAAAAATATAATTTGACTTTCTATTGTAAAATACCTCATGATTATTATGTGCATGAACTGAATTAATTAACATAACTAAACATTTTATCATTATTATTTATTATATTTACAAGATTAAAATTCTTAAAATTCTACATCATTAAGATTATAACAACAAATTAAGAATTAAGATATCTAAAATAAATTAAAATTACACTCATTTATCTATTGACCTTGGACTGAATTTTGCCTTAAAAAAAAACTTATAAAATGTTTTGTCCTGGTTTGTGGTGGTGGTAGTAGTAGTCTCAGATGAGAATGGCTACCACAATATGATCATGTAGAAGGTGGGTTCTGTCACAAATAGTACTATTAACTTTCTATATAACTTGTTCAATATACAGTAATTCAATATCAATTAAATTCTCATCTATAAGTTTTTGCTCTCTTATCTATTTAATTATTTAAGCTGTATGATTCTCATGAAACATCAGGGTTGTAGCTGTAGAAAACTAAGGGTGGGTGCTACACACTTTAAGGGGTGGGTGATAACGTTGGTAGACAATACTCTAAATAATAAGAGTGGATTTTAAGGATGGAAAAGTGGGTTAAATAAGGATAGGTAGATCTTCAAGGCTGGGTGGCTCCACCCATTTTCGCCTACATCCCTGAACATGTATAATACATACATACGTACCAGCACATGTGAAAAACCAAATTTTAGATTCTCTGTTAGTTTTTTTTTTACTGTTTTGGACCCTGGGTAAATAAATATAATAAATATATCTAACTACAGCCTTAACATCAGTATAAGTTGAATGAACACGCTCCTCACCCAGGGTTCTGTTGTTGAACCAAGTCATCTCGAATTAGGACTTAAACATGGAGGTCCTTTGTACACATCTGATTTGTGTGAACTTTAAAGAACTTGCACATCTTTCGGAAATGTACAAGGTTACCCTGATGCTCTAGTGCATTTCAGCCTATCGTTTAATGATGTGAGTTACAAGTACCTCTCTATGTTTGCTCCAGTAGTCCCTTTTGCAAATCTGCAAGTTATGAGTCATTTTTCTACCTTTACTTTTTAAATTAATAATTTTCTGGTCCAAGTAAAAATAATGGAATATTATAATTAAAGTATTAAATACAAAAATACTTATAATCTGCTTCAAAAGATAATAAGGACTTGTGCTATGCTATCAAACCAAAAGATTTGCCAAGTCAAGTATTCCAAGTGTCACTGGACTTTTAAACAAACAGTAATTTGGATAATCAGTTGGACAATGTATTTTCTGATTTAAACTGATTTTTTTTTTTTTTAAGTCACTGTCATATTTTTAAAATATTCTAATATGCAATATGATTGTTTGTTTTAAGTTCTATTATTTTGGATAGGCCTATGACTGCAAATTGTTTTTCTTAATGAACTATGTATATAAAATAATTAAAATTTTACATATAAATTGTAAATAATTATTAAACTTAATAGTATTTTTTGGAAATTCAAATAGTTGTATTTTTATAATAACTTTTCTTTTTTTAATGAATCATCTTGATTTTCTAATTTCAATTATTTTAGCAAATAAAATAATGTTATTGCTAGTTTTATAATCAAAAAATTAAAATGTTAAAATGTTAATGTTAAATGTTAAAATTAAAATGTTATTGCTAGTTTTAATAAGCCTAATATTTGTTAATATTTTTGACTTTCTATTATATTATATAATTATGTTTATATAGTTTTCTATTTTTAATTCTACTGATTAGACTGTAAGCTCTTCATTTCAATCTTGAATTGTATTTTGAGCATTTTCATACCTGAATAAATAAATTAAAAAAAAAAAAATTTGTTTGCACTCTGAGACTTACGTGTAGAGCGCTCATGATGCTATACAGAGTAGTAAATTCCATAAAGCATACAACGTTGAGAAGTCAACAATTCAGTGATAGTGTTCATAAATGTATTTGAGAAAGATATAATTCTTGGGAGATATCAAGCTGGTGGCAGGTGTAAAAAAATCACTTTTTTTTATAAATATTTCTGTTTACTTGCAAAATGGGTATGCTAACAGGCCAAAAATTAAATTTTATTCAAAATTATTATTAGTGGGTGGATTGGATTGGATTTTTTCGGCGTAAACACCAAGGATAGCCTACGAAAGTCTAGAAGACTTATTTCCACTGGGGTCCTTCTGGTGGTGATTGGGTAGCACACCGGGAGACAATCCCCTACTCTTTTCCGAAGAGTGTACTGCGTTCTTTAACATGCACATGGGACCAACAGCTTAAACGTCTCATCCGAAAGACAGTGCGCTATTGTAACTTGTATTTCAGCCCTCTAGCTGAAACACAAGAAGAGGCAGCGATGGGAATTGAACCGGGGACCTAGAGATCTCCACAGTTCAGCACACACACAGCGGCTACCACTAGATTAGCCGAATGAGCTATGCTGGGAGATATTTGTAAAACAAGCTATACGAAAATAAAATAAAATAAATAAGGAACTATTTAAAGAAAATGCACTTTGTTGTTTATTCATTTGATGTTCTACTTGATTAAAAAACTATAAAGAATGCAAGATGAAGTCAGCAATGGATAGCACAAGTGGCAAAGGTGTTGTCTGACAGCAATTCTGTTGCAGTCTGCAAAAATAAATCAAAAACCCTATTATGTGCCACCTGCCTCCATGTTTGGATAGACAACCCAATGTTACAGCCCAAAGCCAAACATTTATAAAAAATAACATTGAAACTGAGCAAAAAGCAGTATAAAAGGGAGTATGAAAATGTTTTTTTTGATTGGTGATTTTTTTCTTTTTGTTTTTTTATGTGATAAACTGTGTCAAATCTGTGCTATAAATAGGCGATAGTGTGTTTTCAGCAAAATTTGAGTTGACTGATGAGGAGTCGTTTCTTTACAATGTCATAACTTTGCCTACACTAATCTGATCGCTTAGGTTGACGCAGCAACAGAAAGCAAATATAACAGTTATATATAAAAATTATCTAATTGGATAAAAAAATTTTCAGTCATTTATTAGTTCTATCAAAGGCATTCAAGAACAAAACTTGCCAGGGCTCACAGCCGGCCAAGTGAATTGGTGTGTTCCATTTTCTGAACTGAAGAAAATAATGGTACCTGCTGTATTAAAGACTTGTTAATATTCATTAAATGAGCTTGATAGTGGCTATATCTTATTTCTACAGTGTTATGCATAAATTGGGAATGTATTTGTAAGTGTTTCGCTAATGCTTGATCCTTTAAAAAAGTTTTTTATATACCCTTTTTGGATAATGAAATCGCCAAACACTACGCCGTGCAGCTCGCTCTATCTGTTCATTTTTGTCTTTCGTCTTTCTTACACAGTATTTAAAATGTTTTGTTATAGCCAAAACAAGCCAAACAAATTGATATGGCTTTGAAAACACAATGTTTATTCTTGTACTAAGAATTTAAGCTAATCAATGCAGGGAGGTACAAATGTACACAAAATGTTCGTTTTTTTGGTCTACTACTTAATTGTATTGTATTGTACTGTATTGTTTTATTATTATATAAAAGAAGTATTGCTGGCTTTAAAAAATTGCTACTTCATTTAATATATTAGATAATTTGAAAGGAATTTAATGGTGTAAAATTAAACGTTAAACGCATGGTATACAATAGAAGTATAACATTTTAAGTACTTTTGAAATTTAGTTCACTTTGTTTTTCACATAAGGAAATAAACAGAAAAAACAAAGATTTGGCACAGCATGCTACAGTGCATGTTTTAAATGGAAGTTGGATATGGAATACACAATGTCTATTCTTGCAATATTTTCATTGCCTTTCAACTTATGTTTGTATGAAGAATACTGATGCATAGTATTGTTGAACACAGACATGTTTGTCATGTTTTTTACTGTCTTTAATAAGAAGTACTTTGTCTTCATTTGAAGGGATTTAATGGTGTATTGTAAAGGTAAATATGAGAACTCTTTGATATTACTTTTACGGTGGCAGTTGATTGACTGAAACTAAAATTGCACAAAATAATTAGCAAATGGAAGTAAATGAATAAACATAAATTGGTGTCTGCAAATGTACTTCTTTCATTGAATGAAACTATAATGTAATCCCATTTATTCAAATTATTCAAATGGGAAAATCTAACTACCTGTAGGTGTATTGTAAAATGTAAAACAAATTATGCAGTAACAGGGCTCCCAAGTCTTCAGGAACTCATGGGATTGCCCTGGAAATCGGGACAGCCTCCCGCACTCCTACAGGCAAGCAAGAATCTCCCGGAATAAAGCCATATCCCTCAAATTCATATTTTTGCATGTTTTCACTGTTTTATTATCAATTGTCCGTGTCGATGGGTATCACAATGTACAGTAAAATAGAATTAAATGTTAAAAAAGCTCAGTGGTGAATTCCAGAGTGAAGCTCCCCCCACCCCTAAATTTTTCAAAATTATAAAAAAATGGAGAAAAAAAAAAAATCATATTCAAATTTAAGT